GAAACATACGCGTGTATATATATTATGCAAATAAGCAAAATGAATTATAAACGGTGAACATTGTACAAATACATGAATAGATCAATACACATGTTTTAGCAGCAAACACTTAATATTATAATATGTAGTGTGCTCGTATGAGTTTTCATTCGTTTACGTGTACCTAATATGTGTGGAATAATTTAAATTCAAATCGTGTTTTAATTCGTTTTCACTTTCACCCTCGAACGTTTTGCCAGTGCAATGACGATAACGGAGATACTTACCTATAATATCATTTAATAGGCATTATTGGTAACACATGATATCACATTATTATTATTTTAACAGGAACAGACGTAGGTATTAGGTATATAAATAATATATTATCAGCTGCAGCGTTTGATGAACTGTATACTGCGTCCAATTCAGAACCGGAACAGAGTGCAATAATGGTAGTGGTTCTACGGAAATCTGAGCAAAACGCGACCGGAACAGACGAACTATAATAATTATTTTTTGTCCTCCCCGTTGTGCCGTGGAGTATATAGACAGAACTGAGTGATTTAAAGGCGGCCGTTTGTAATTGTATAATATATTAGCGTAGTCTCAAATAAAAGAAAAAAATTTCGTATACACCGGTTTATAATACACTAAAAAATTATAAATCACAATAAATTTGTAGAGTTTGGTTTGTCGATCAATTCAAATATTTTTAACGGATCGGTTAAAGTTATAATATTACTATGATGTATAAGCACATGTTAACATAAACATAGGTATTAAGTAGTTGTAAAATTTGGCCGACTATACTATATTTACATAGTATAGCATGTTTGTAATTTTTACTTTCGGTTCGGATACTGATTATATTGTTTTGTTATGATAATTCTTAAAAATTGGCGTACGTGAACGATTATGTACACTATTTTTATTTTAAAACGATGGAAATAGATTATTCTTCAACATAACTATAACGCCGAAACTTCTATGAGATAGCAAACATTATTACTGTAATCTCATGGTGTGGACTACTATATAGAAATAATAATTATTCGATCGTCATATTAATACGTCGTACTTTACCATATAAGGCGATACTCAGTGACGTGATGCGCTTAGAATTTTTCACAAACAATTTATATAATATTCTATCCACCGACCAACCAATAGCCCGACAAGAGCATCATCATTTATTTATAGTAGGTATTTATATAAATAATGAAACACTAGTTAATAGAAAATTATTATCTATTGGCCAATGTCCATTAGCTGTGTAACCACCTATCAGCCGCCCTTAAAAAATCCAGAGTTGGTCGCCACTGGTGATACTTGGCATATAACTCGACAGTTATTTACAAGGTAAATTAATTTATTACCGCGCATAAATCTAATTTAAAACTATAAGTCAATTATTATGTAGTGTTACACTTACAAGTATTAAGACGAGTTCAGACTAGTTTTTCGTTGACATATAATATTGCACTATAGGTACACTATCCAAAAACAAAAAAAAAAATGTACAAAAACTCATAAATCTACTGACAATCCCAGCAACTGTTCAGCAATAAAAGAACCACCCTATACAATGGACAACACACAATAACGAATACGATGACGACGACGACGATAGTATGATAACAATAATATAATAATAACAGTTTAACAATGATTGTCGTCGACCACTCGTAATTTTTTCAACACATCTTGAGAACTACTAAATACAAACATGACGCGATTCGTTTGTAAATGTCCGTAAGCGCCAAACAAACACGATCCCAACCACAATATAATATTATAACAGTATATACATATACATACAATATCCACTATGATTACGCGAATACGCGCGAGCGTGTGTATGTGTGTGTGTGCGTGGCTATAATATAGTGTAATGTAAATAAATGTCCCGGAGAAAAGAGAGTGCGTTTCCTCGTCATATTATATTATTATTATTACACGGTTGTTTGGGCGGTAAGTTGTACCGACAACGGCGGCGGATTTTATACACTGCGAAAAGTATTACGTCGTTTCGTCGCCACAATAAAAACTAACAGTCGGCGCGCACAGCTTTTGTATTTCGAATATTGGCTTTTCGAGGGCCGGTTCGGTGGATTTAATATACAATATATACACACACATATATATATATATATATATATATATATATACACGAATATTTATGTGATATTATTGTTGTTGTTATTATTACTATTGTGTGCGCGGCAAAAGCCGGAAACGAGAACGGCGATTATTTCGGCTAATCGATCTATTCCTTTAAAAACTCACGATACAATTAATAATTATAACACCTAAATATTATATTATAGAATACGAACAAATCTGCGGTAATCGCTCATTATATTATTATATTATTATATAATAGATATATGTGTATTATTATCGAGACGGTAGCGCATTGTCCGAAATGTTAAGATTTATGGTTGGACAGAGCGTTGCGGTCTTCGTTTATCATTATTCATTATTCATTATTATACCGATAATATTTTGTTTGTACCGTTGGATTTAAAAAAAAAAAAATGTTTTATTTATTTATCTCTAGACTTTAAAATGTACTGATTTTTAAAAATTATTTAATGATATTATTGTTTGGTTTTTTTTGTTCGTAACAATATCATTATGTTGACATAACACATGGAACATATCAAAATAAAATCAACGAATTACATTTCCAATTTGATATTAATTTATACTTAATAGTTATCCAGCAAACAAAAGCTGTAATAGTATTTTCAATCAAAATTTAGCCGGATGTTAATCTTATAAACGTAAGTGGACAAATTGTGTGTGATAGAACGCGTACACCTCTGGAATGGAATTTAAACTTACGGCTAAATAAACTAAATTTTGATTATATATTCACTGATAATATTGACATATACCTGTTCATGATATTATTATTATTATTATAGGTAATATACTACCATAGTATTATATTCTTGATATATGCACACTTTTATACAGTTGATTCAACAGTATACATCATATTATAAACTTGTGAATATCCAATTTACTTGATTCGTTGTACATGTTTTTTGTTTCCGCACGCATATTCCCCTACTGAGCAAAAGAGGTCACGCATATATCTAAATACACGCTTAATCCAGGCAAGGTAGTGGTGTCTCCTTTTCACCCCATTTTGTACTGGTGCAGGCGCACAGCGACATCGACCTTACGCGTGTACACTAATGCCTAAACATTAAATGATTCTATAGATAAACGTTGAACCATAAAAACTTCACGTAAATACGTCATTCTAATATTATACCTGTTCATCTAAAAATAACTTCATACTTTTATCTTGATAATGATGCGGTGCTCTGCGCATAAGCGAATTCAAAATATTAGAGCTAAGTTAATTTTAACTTGACCCTTTTAAATAATTTGATTTTTATTGAAATTAATTCAATAAAATAACAAGTTACGTTTATTTATAAATTATGAAATAATAAATATTATAATAAAAGATTATCAATTATTAATGGTCCACACAAAACGAAAATTAAAAAATCGAATTCTTAAATATTCTTCTGTTACCATTAATCATAAATTAATTTAATAACAATAGTTTTTTTTTTGATTTCTATACAATATAGACATTTATTTAAAACTATTGGCTATTTATGAATTAAAAAAAAAAAACTAACTCAACTTAGTAAGTTAATCGTTTCTATAGCTCTAAGTTAATAAAAATAAATAGCACACTATCAACATTAAACTAAATATTTAATATTAATTTCACAACTCAGTTATAAAGTGTTATAAATTCACCCAATCTTGTAATAATGTATATCGTAGAAACCTTACAGCCTATATGGGTAGGTACTCATATAATATTATTATGATCGAATAACACTGTTAACTTCTAAAATATATCAAAAATCGTACTTGCTTGCATTAATATATAACTGAAATAAAATGTTCATGTTGACTGTTGAGTGCTTAATATAATATTATTACTATTATCTTTTAAAACACTACTATATGTTATATTTTTTGACATCGGTTTCGGTTTAGTTTTAAAAAAATAACCTATCTATGTCTCGGTTGATTCGGATTTCCAATATTCACCAGTTTTAATACAATTTATTCGCATTACTCGACAACAAAAATCATTCAAAATTTGAAATGACTATGCCATTAATTATAACATAGATTTAGTCTTATCGGAATATCGATCTCGGTTCTAAAAACAGTATTTGTAATTTGAGTCCAAGCCAGGTTCTGACTGCAGAATCGGCTCTTTTCGGTAAATATGGTTCGAATTCATACGCATAACCTGCAGATGACTTTCTGTGCTCGACATTTCAGAAGATTTTCGATCAGCTTCACTAAGTGATCGTTAAAATGATAATAAACTGTCCATAGACAGATTAATCGGTTCGTGAGACGGGTTGTGAGTTGTAACTATAAATAGATAACATCCGTTTTTCGCATCTCACGCGACGTGTAATGATAATAACAATAACAATAATAATAATATTTTGTTTCTCTCCGAACTCAAGTCGTGGAGTGGGCGGGGAGTAATAACGCAACGTGGGTATTTAATACCAATATTACTCCCGGACGAGAACAATATAATAATATTGTAATTTTTATTACAAGACCGAATTTCGACATAACTCGCACATCTACACGATATCCATCCAGGCCCCGCCGAATGTAGTATTACAATACTGCACGACCCACGCGTTCCGACCCGCGCTGCACCGTGTTTCGTCCGTTTAGGAAGCCTACATAATATTATCATCATCATTACCATTATTAAAATTATATCACGCCGTAGTCGCAACCGTACGCCCGTCGCGAGTGTAAGTCACCGTCGATCTCGAACATGTTATTGTTGTCACTCTACACAGACGTCTACGATTGATATAATTTAAACGGCATAATACAGTGTTCTAATAGTATTGAGTGTACGGTTTATAATGCGACGATGCGGGCCAATGGACAATGACACGTCATGATTAAAACACACACACTGGAAAACGAAAATAATAACATCATGCAGGCAAGAGTGTAATATTAATAATATTAATAATAATAATAATAATAATAATCATGTCTTTACGACGACCGTACTACTACGACGACAATTATTATTATTATGATAATAATATTATCGCGTAACGCGTGTAATGATATCCAAGTACGAATAGTTCTCAGCTCTGCGGTTCTCTTGTCGGGGGAAAAAAAAAAATCCGCGGTCTGGGCGAACAACGACGATTGATAGTTTCTGAATGGTAATTTCATCGACGTTATTGCCGTAGTAAAACTTTATTAAAATTCAATCGCGTCTTGAGAGAGGCGAGTGGCGGTGACGCGTGCGTGTCGCGCACACCCACCGAGATCCGTCGAGGCCTCTCGGAGGCGGCGGCGGTGGCGGCGACGGCGGCAGCTGGCTCATTGTAAGCCGGGAGCTCGCCCGCGAGTTTAAAAATACTCGACGGCGGCGGCGGCGAAACGCTAACGTGCGGTGCGTGGCGGCCCGACCGACTCCGACAACTTAAATAAATCTCGAGCTTGCGGTGCCAACGCGTGTTTAGGAAAACGAGGTCTGCGTGCAAAATGTGTACGTACGACGGGCGGTGCCGCCGTATCTCCCGATATGGCCCATAATAGACGTGCGCCGCCGCCGATGGCTCCAGGGAAATAAAAAAAAAATTTTTTTTTTTAAAAAATATACGCGTGTTAAAAAAGTACTATCGCGCCGCCCTAAAAATAAATTCTCGCCGCCGAGTAGTCGCCGTATATAATGTTATAACGACGAAACGTATTATACCTAATAATATAATATAATGTAGGTTAACGGAGGAGAGGGGAGCCCGATTCGCGTTCCAATAAGCGTAATGTCCGCATATACTGTGTCTCCGCGCTGTACACGAAACGATGACGGCTGCGAATATTATAATATTATAGGTACCGTAGTGTAACGTTGTGATCGTCCACGTCGTTGTACAACGATAGAATTATAATAATATTATCAAGTGTTCGGCCACGGGACATAATAATGATATCGGGACACGTATTGTTTTTTTGTTTTGTTTTTATTTCAAAACGATGAACACTCGCCCACCGTTTTTTTAAATTTTAAATCACCGTGTGCACACTCCCCCAGTTGTTCCATACGCAACAATCGTTTGCGGAGTAACGATTCACAGACTCACAGTGCGTGGCGGCGTGTCAAGGGTCGGCCGACACTCAGTGTTACTGTAGGCACCGGTAAAATCAAAAAAAAGAAAAAAAAATGGATTCGAGTAAATAAAAGCTATCGACCAATATTCGAATTGTAAAAATATACTGATTCTGTACTACTATATTCTATTCGAGAAAAATCGAAAACGCAAGGTACCTATCCAGGTATATAAATTTAACAGTTACTGCAACACATACGTATGGCCATGGAATCGTGTTGTTTTTTTTTTTTTATTATTCATACCATATCTGTATACTATTGCAATAATTATTCGAATTGACATTTTTTATATAAAATAGCTTAGAGTTTTTTTAACGTGTCTAAATGGCAAAATCGTATAATTTTTATGCATTATCGAGGTTTTCTTTGTATATAATACATCTTCATCGTTTGATACACCGAAAAATGTTCTCGATCCTGTCATAAAGAGTGTTTTACGCTCAATCGTGTGATAACTGTAGAAACATACGATAATAGCGGTAACACATACTTTATGTATAGGTATGTGCACGATCAAATAAAGCCGTACACGCCTTAATTTTTTCTCCAGTTTGATTGTGCGGTGACCACACTGACTTGACGCGACTCACGAGCGGCGAACGTAAAGCTTTTAGCCATTCTGACGCAATTTTTGACGCTAACTCTTCTTCATCGTACCCCCACTCTCACTATAACCGCTTTACATCACGTAAGGTTAAGAGTTTCTCGGATTTGTTTTCGATCAAATCTAATGCGAGATAGTTAAAATATGTTACGTATAGTCATAGGTACGTATAAAAATATCATTGTTCATCCTTCTTCGTGCATCGTATAATAATAATAATAATAGTAATAATATCAATATTTTAAAAGAAATACGATTCACTTTTAAAGTCCCGTATTATAATATTATAATGCCCGACAAATATGTGTCTCGCGTGCGACAGTCGAAAGACACTATCGCGCGGGCTGCAACTCGACAAGGGGTTTCATTGCAGTGTAGATTTCCGTTCGAAATCTTTCATAATAAAACACTAATTGCCTTCGATAAATTTGAACAAGCGAATTTCCATCGAGTTTCATTTTGTCGAACTCTCGGATCTCTATATTTAATTTTTGTTGATTTATTAACTATACGTAACATCATGATTTTGGGTGGCCCGCGCGCTTAACTGTTTACTGTTCAAATAAACAGCATCCAAAATTAAAACATTTTTCTCGCAGACCCGTTGAGAATCATAATAGACATAATATTACCGTCACTGCAAGACAGATCGTCGCAATCGTCGGACGGCAATGTCAATATTATTATGTATACAGTATACACGTCATTTATTTATTATGATTATGGTATTATTATTCATTTTTTTTTCTTTTATCAGTATTACTTTATAACTGGCGTACATAAAATAATAATATGCAGATGACGCAGTCGACTTAATACTTACACATTTATTATCTGTAAATTTATACTTATGCGTCGTGACAAAATTCTAATTCTTTTTTTTTTATTTCTTCATTTAAATTATGCGAGTAGTAACCGATGCAAAATCGTCATGTATACGCGATTATGGATATTTATTCCAAAACTTTATTCCGTTTTAACGTTATTGTTGTTGTTATTATTATTATTTGCGTTAACTCGTTTATACTAATATTAATTTAATAATTGTAATACACACTCTTGTATACATAGTACTACCATGTGCACGATTATATACATATATAGTTGACAATTTATTTAATTTATACGTTTGCGCAGGCGTTGTGTCTGATCCGTAAAAATGCGCGTTCATAAAGCGGTAAAAGCAATTTAAATATTTGGCAGACAAGTCGTCTCACGGTATAATAATAATATATATGTATGTAATATGTACACACGTTCGAGTGAGTGTGCATGTGTGAGTGTGTGTGTATTGCAATGTTCAATGTCAGCAACGACAAAAAAATAAAAATAATCGTTTTGCATAAAAACAAGGGATATGGTATTGTATAAAATAAGAGTTGCGTTAAATTAAAGACGTTTCAACGTCGAAAACGAAAAATGAGAAAAAAATAAACACTGAACGACAACAAAATACGCGTTTACTCTATACCTACCTACGGAGAAAAACCGTTGCTCGTTTTGTGACAGCACTGAAGTGCACAATTATTGTCGTTGATATATTTTATTAAATATTTGCTCACGTACCGATCTGCCTGATATTTAATTAACGTAAAAGTGTTTGAGTTTAAAAATGTATATTAATTTAATTATTTATTGCATGTAGGTAAGGTTAGGTATTCACTTGAATAATTTTAAAAATATCATATCCATTTTAAGTTCTTTCCTATATCTTGTTTTTTTAATAGTCGTAATTCATAGTTACGCTAGTCATATTGATAATTTTTTTGATTTTTTTTTAATTAACTATTAAGGCTTCAATGAAAGTGGTTATTAATCTACTGTTAGCTCAAATATATATGTTTATAAACGAAAAAAAAAAAGGAAAAGGATATACAGTATTTACAATTATTTATAATCATTCGATTAATTTAAAATTAATGAAAAACAGAAAAATTACTTGAGTATTTTCTTTGTTCATTACTATTTAAAGTAAAATTGCGTCGGTGAAGATCTTGATTAATTGCTCCAGCGTAATTCCGATATTCGGTTATTATTACATTGAGATCGTCAGATTTTCCTTGCACGTATTGTGTATTAAAACTGGTTCTTTAGATATGACTGTGACCAGGAAAGAGTATTGAATATTATGATAAAAAAAATCTGAAACATTTTGTTACATAAATAGGGTCTGAAAGTTATGACACTAAAAACAGCAGTAATCTGTAATTTTTCATTTCGATATTTGTTTTATAAATATATATTGTGTATGTAGCGATAAAATATTTTACACTCGTACACTTTTTATCGATGCTGTCGTAAAGAAATTTTTGATTCTGGATGATTGGACACAACAAAGGTGCACACGTGTAAAAGTGTAAATATATTACGAACCTAGGAATGATTGTAATTTTTTATCCATACGCCATGTCGTCGCTCAACCGAAATTTTCTTTCTATCGTTTTAATCATGTCCATTGAATCCAAATCGATTTCCACGAATTTCTGCGCGCACAGCAACTCATTTTTCTGCGATTGGAAGATTTAAATAAACAGGCTATAAATATTGTTAGTAGTATACGCTATTCGGCTGTGCGAATGTGAGTCTCCCGTTAGAGAATTCTTGACTTGAAATTGTTCACATTTATTTTACTCTATATATATTTTTGTTTTATCGTGGAATAAGGTTAGTATATAAACTGATTTCAAACCAAATTTTAGATTGAAATGTTCAATACTATTTTGTATGGTCATCATTATAAATAGGTAATAAATAATAGCATTAAAAATGTTTTCTCTTTATTGAAGATAATAATTTAGGAAATTGAAAATCAATTTATTTTATACTAGTTTATACAAAACGCAAGTTTACTGGAATACATTTTTTTATTTTCACTAGTTACTTACACTTATTTTCTAAATTTTGTATTTTAACAAAATTTTATTATTTTTATATTTCATATAATCTCTATTATCATAAAAGCCAAAAGAAAAGGAAAGAAAAATACATATTTTTAATTTAAATATTTTTTTTTTTTACATTCGGGCAATTTTTATAATTTTCTTAATTCTTTAATTTCTATAATTATTTTTAACTGTAGGAAATTAAATAACAAATTAACCCTGAAATTAATGAACAATATTTATGATAAGACTTGGTGACGCGAGAAATGTTGCCGTGACAGTCTATAACGGATGATAGCATCATCATTACTATACTACCATCACTAGTGTGGCGAAAAATATTGTGCCTCAATTTATGGGAACAAATAAAAATATAAGATAACGTGGGGAGCAAAAAAACACGATGCAATGACAAAAAAAAAATATTTCCTCATATAAACATTTTGTTTATTAAACTTAAACTTATTAAAATTTATTAGAAAAAATTGTCACGATGTCCTATCAAAAGGAAATCGCATTTCAACTCAAACAATTCTATTATCGCATCGATCCTTATCATTTTATACATTAAACATTAACAATAATATTCTTCTCATTACACGGGACAGCGTATGGACAGTAGCTTGAAAACATTTTTGCTCTCAGAAATTTCAGAAATAACTGCCTCACGAGCCACCACTGACGTGTATGTGTGTGTGTGTGTGTGTATGTAGTGTAAACGAAATGTTGCGATTAAAAAATAAAAATGGCACCGTTCCAGTTGACGTGATCACCAGTGAACTGTACTTTATAACCCCTTACATTGCTCGCATTACGATCGCATTTTGAAAAAAAAATCGAGATTACCCATTGACAGCTTGCACTCTTCATGCCTCCCCTCGTCTGCGGTATGCTCGAACACGCGCTAAATCTGCGCGCCGAATATAATTCTCACTCTCAAATCTCAAATCTCTATCTGATCGTTTGCAGCCCGCCACATATACACCCACTGCACTTAATATGTTACATTATATAAATACAAGACAATATATGTATTTTCATCCCAAGTATACTTTTTGAATTAGAGTATAGAATTTTTTTTCTGTTTCTAAAAAATATGTATATATATAGATTATATATACAAAGTGATTTATTTTATCCGTAAGATACTCATTATTTCAAAAAATATTAACGTTTTGAAAACACATCATTTTACACTATTTTTAATCACTACAAAACAATGTTTTAGGGAAAAGATTTATTTTTACTATTTTTATTGTTATTGTTTTTACAACTTACGTTTTTAATTTAATATTCTAACAAAACACAATATTACTCGGTATTTTTTATTTATACAAATCAAATTTAGAATAAGCAGTTTATTAGCTGTAACTTTTTTAAGTATTGGTGAGTAGAGTAGTGGACCAAAATTTCAGGGGATATTCGTGCACCACTCCAATCCGTTTATCAAATCTTTAAATACTTACAAGGCATAATCTCTTAAGCTACTCGTCTAAATTTCGATTTTAATGGATCAAAGTATTTCAAAAAATATTTTATTTTTTTTGTAATACAGAATTAAAAATGCAATTTGTTACTAAAATAAATAACAAATTAAAGAAAAAAATAGTAATGATAAAAATAATAAAAGTATTAGTAATAGCATTTTTTTTAGAAAATTTAGTTTTTAACAACTTAAAATTAAATTTAAAAATATTTTTTAATAACTTAATATAAATTTTGAAAATATGAGTAGGCGCATGTTTATTTTTAGTAGGCTTAACTTATATTAGTTATAATATAATATAATGTTGGATTTTCAAAACAAAACAAAACAATTTTAATATTACAATTTAAAATTATAAATGAAATATAGAAATTTTATTAAAGATAGTTTACAACTAATTTTTGATAACTGCATTTTTTTTTTTGCCTAGTTATTTTTAATGTATGCTATATTATTATATCTTATACATTTTATAATATTTAATATATATAACAATATAATAGCACGACGATCAATGGTAAAATAAATTGCAACAAAAATCGTAGTATAAATAAATTAAACGATATACACATATTATTGAACCTATTTATAATACTATTTATATATTTAATTTGAATTTATTCATTTCCTTGAGATATTAATTTATTCTGAAAATCAATCTAAACGATGAACCAACCACGTTTAAAAATAAAGTGGGTAGATACTAGGTATATACTATAATATATACAATATGCTGTTCATATAGCACATTAATAAATAATATTATATTTTAATTTATATTACACATTATATGCAACATGCATAAATATTTTTGTATAGTAAAAATGTAGTTTTATTAGTATTGACTATACTTTAATGATTCTTGGAATCATATTCCAAAAAATCTTTTTTAAATTTTATTTTTTTTCAATAGAAATAATATTATTTAATAAAGTACATTTTATAATTATATTATAAAATGGTTTGATGAAGATATTTTTAGTATGAGTAGTATTGCAATTCAAACAGAATTAACACGAATGTATTATGCATTTACATCAAAATATACCTTATAAATGTAATAGAATGGACTGGCGTATTGGCGTAATGAAACACAAACGTAAAAAAAAACAATGTTCATTTTTAATGGTTATAAACTAATGAATAATTACGAATCTATAAAATTAAAAAAAACCTAACCAACGCTGTATTTGTTCTTTACATCTGCGCAACTCAAAATTCGATTGCCCACCCATCTTCCACGTCATTAAATCTACTGTTAAATGTAAATAAGAATGAGTATATCCGGAACTCAACACACTTAGTTCTTCTAAGTTAAAATTCTATTTATTGTTTTACATTTTTTAGATGGGACTGTTTACCATATGAATTTCGTTATTTTGAAGCTAATTTAACGGGATTTAATTAACTAAACTTACACGTTTGGTATAAGAAATAGAGTTTAGTGTGAAGCACAGGGGAGCACTTGACCCCTGCCCCATCCTTGCTACATCCATGATATTATTATATTATGTGTATACTGCATATAGTCCATCTGCTAACATATTTCATAAACTCAAACGGTCACATTGTTAAATTTATCACAGATCATTATTATAAAATCAAACACATACTTACGTCCAATAACCTGATTCAAATTTTCTTTGCCCTATCATCAAATTCAACTTTTTTAATTATTATTCAATTTTTCAATTTCATATAAACACTTTACTTATTTACATTAGAAATACTGAATTTCTTGCATTTGAAATCAAACTCGAGGAGGAGACAAATGTCGACATTTTAAAAGCTTGACGATCGATCTAGAGTTAACTTCAGAAGCATTTTAATATGTTTCATAATATTACTATAATATAGTGCTTATCTTTACGGTGTACGGTGAACCAAATATTAAAAGGTTCCTACGTTTTTTCACATAAACACGTTCCATATCGAAATACTTCGTTTTGTACGTGCCTAAAATGTTGGGGGATTTTCCGGTTGATGACACGCTTCACCTTCTAGCCGATATGTTATAAATTCAACCGAATGACCGCGTCTGGCATCTCGCTCGACGCTCAATGCACTATAATACATATTGGCATAGAAATATTGTTGTATGCTATAAAACGACTTAGGCACCAGTCTTGTATTTCAGTTTTAAGAGTTTACAACGTCGTCTATCAGATACCTTCTACCTGCAGAAAATCCGTTTCGTTGTTAGGAGTCTGTGAAAGCGTAGGTAAAGGGGGTTATGTCGATAGATTATCTATTATAATATTATTATGTAGAACTAGCTGATACTAAGAAAATGTACCGCTACAAAGTTTAGGTTTCGTCGGGGACGGGGTCAGTTAATACTATTTTTAAAATGAAAATTCGGAGGTATATTTGTATTCATGTACCTTCTAAGAAGTCCGTTTCCGGGATATTGGCTTTCTTTTTATTTTATTACATACTACTATTTACTATAAATGTATTTTTGTCACGAATATTCCAGTATTATGAAAGATGATTTATGTTATTTTCAGATAAGTCCGAAAACCCGTGTGTGGTGGTCATCATCGTCCGTCTTCGCTTATCTATACTGCAGGTATATATATATATATATATAATATATTATTATACTCACTTTAAAAAACAAACAAGCTATTTTCAAATAATATAATACTATGTGTGTGTGCATTGTAATATATTCTAGTATTTTTTTTATTAGAATATATATTTTTATATTTTTGTTATATCTACATGCAGAGCAAGGTTAACGAATATATCGTTCGCTGGTAGATTTTAAGTCCACCCTTCACAACCCTTGTACCCATCATAAAAATGAAATTATATCAAAAATAACACTTTTAAAATTTTTAATTTACTTTAATAAAATGTAAGACATTGGATAGAATAAAAGCTATTGCATATGTCAAATAATGCTGATTCACCCTTTATTTAAAATATAACAATAAATAAAAATGTGTTTAATAAAACGGCGGTAGTCTGGAGTATTATAAATTAGGTTTTTTATATTTTTTACGAGTAATAATTTATAATATTTTGTTTTTCTGTTTTAATTTTAAATGTACCTGCAGTTATTATGTTATACCAGATTTTACCTTTTTGTAAAAACTTTAAATTTCAGATATCATAGAAATAATTTGTTCATTTTGTTATTATTTTTTCCTCAGCTCTTTTACGAAATTCAGCACCACTTAACTTTATATGCTTTCCATTCGTATTTATTGAAAAAGAAATGCTGTAAGAAAATACTAAATTCGTTTAATTTTTAATCAATCGAACTTAATGATACTACGACTACTGGACGATATAGTGTAATAAAAATAATTTCTTGGTAGTGTAGAAATAAATAATTTGAAACTATTAGTACAATATTTAACAAATCGTTGCGATTTTAATTTTTAATACAACCATGCAGGTAACCATTGCCAATGATGATAATATTAAGGTCTTTCCTATAACACTCGCTGACGTAATAACTCTGCGGTAGAGGCGATTAATACAATATTATAATATAAGTATAATTATTATTAATATTTGACATTTGTTATGTAAATTTTTCAAAAACTTATAGTTCTTCCTAAAAATTGTTATATATTAAATAATATTAAAAAACTTGAAAACAGTCGGGAAAATGAAATTCGCTCCAGAATAATTAAAATCGGTTAAAATAGCTGTATTATTCGATAATCAATATTTATTAATTTAGCTTGCCACCCACTAAACACGTATCGTTCGCGACAGCAGCTGTAGCAGCAAACAAAAGTTTGTTGTTCCACTCGTACACCAGTGGTGCCAAAATTTAAGCTGGTTATTTTTTTCACATAACAGTAGCGAATACATACCTTTGTTGCATGTATGTCACATACGTTTTGATTCAATGGTTATAAAATGAATTTAAAATGAATTGTAAAGTTTGAAATACGTTCGTGTTGTGTATGTTTTTTAAAATCACGTAAAAATGAAATTATTATAGCTTATAAAATTGTCAGTATAACTCAAATGAACAATAATATAAATCATTCAATAATTTATTTTTTCAATTTATGTGTCACATGTCGGAGTTCATTCTCTAGGGATGAAAAACGAGTGGATTAATTTCGTGTGTCTTAAACTGACTTGGGTGGTTATTACTTCATCCTTTCTTTTTAAAATAACAGTATTATCTATATTTTACCCCATAATGACTTAAAGAAGTTCCGATAAAACGTTGTAGTGTTTTTTCTATCGTTGTTTTGTGTTTATTTTTAAATTTAGATTAAAAATTAAAATTGGTATTCGCTATTCGTAAAGTCCTTTATTTAAAGGGTTTTTCCATCGAAAAGTAATGAAAATATCCACATTCCCAAGAAATCATTCGCGATTTGGAGGGGTCCGTCAGGGGAGATTTCACTGTACCTACTTTTAATATTATGTTTTGCCAGGTCATATTTTTTTAAACAAAATTTAATCCTAGTGCGAAAATCAAAATCAAGTCTGCGCAACACTTCATAATTATACACGCGTGTTACATCACGGAATGACCGACTCGAGAACCATATATTTCTTATGAATATACACTATACGACGTGTTGTTATCAATATTACATACTATATTCTTGCTATTAATCGCTAATATTATTGGTTCATCATTTACATGCGAATGCGAGAGCGCGAGTGATTAATATGTAATGAAATCTCCACGCATGCACGTGGCGTAAATATATATAATATGTATTATTATATTATAATGTACTATTATTCAGACGACGCGGTTTCACGGATGGTTAAATAGGTTTATTGCATAGAAAAAAAATATTATATTGTCGTATGTCTTAGCGAGATAAAAAATTCGCGAATGATCGGATAAATACTTCGAGAACGTCTCGAGAAAAACCAAAATATTCCAGGAAACGTATACTTTATCCCCGACGCGGCGTAGAAACACATATCCGGGCGATTATACTATACTAGTATACAATAAGTGTATAAAAAAAAATAAAGGAAGTCTATCTGTGTGTTATATCATATTTTATTTTTATTTTTTGTTGCCCCGCGGATAAATCAAGTAGTATAATATTATATACGACGTACCTGCGTTGTATCGTAGGTACCTATACAACGCGACATTGCTCTTTTCCCCGTCATAAAACGTTAAAAATCTAATACACCATCGTGACGAGTATGTTAATAATCCATTGCGAATACATGTGTTCCCGCTTCCGAATATTAACTAATTAATTATTGTTTAAAACGTCAATAACATAATATAATATAATTATCGATAATTATCGGTATTGGTCGACGAGTTGGTAATTTTCTTTTTCATATCCCTCGAAAATTGAGTTTTTTTTTTCATTATTATTAAACCACATGTCGTGCTCTGTAAGTTTGATTAATAATGATTGAAAAACAATAAGATTAACTTATACCGGAAGCTACGCATTGTTATATACGATCTTCAGTTTCCGATAAATGATTCCATGTACTTTGACTGCAATAATGTTTTTATTTTCGAACAACAGATTTTCATTTGATTTTCGCAATTATTTTCATGTACTATAATTCGGGTAGGCTATGAAATTATATTCTGTAATAGGAATTGACTTATAGACCGTAACCGTCTGCAGTATGACTTTGAGAGGATTAATACATTTTATATAGTTTCCAAAAATATATTTATCCTATATATATATTAATATATTATACACAAACGCACACAATGAGTTAAGTGAGAGAGAGAGAGAGAGAGAGAGAGAGATAGAGATATAGAGTGGTAACTGGTAAGTATATTATTATGTTATTGTTTATTATCATTGTTGTGCGCGCAGCCAAACGAAAATTGACGAAAAAGTTTATTATTATTTTTATTTAATTTATATCGGAAACCAAGGAACTATATTATATTTTATCCGTACACACAAAAATAGTTTTCATTTAAAATTATTATAGAAGGATACCTCTTTTTTTTCCGCCCTTCCCCCTCGCCGCGTATTTTTCAACTAACAGATTTCTATAAAACAACTTAAACTAATTATTAAAGCTCGGAGTACCGTGAAATCTTTTATTCAGTTTACTCGACTCATATATATTATGTGTAATATATATGTGTATCTCGTATATAATATTGTTTAACTAGTTGTTTGTACAACAGACTGCTGTGTAATTAGTGTATAATAATTGAGTGTTGAAACAAAATTCGTATAATATAATATACTACACTCGTCTATTGAATAAATATGAAAAATTGTATTTTTAATCAGTTAATTTCCGTTCAGCTATAATATGGTACAAAAATTATTTCATTCTTCTGTTACTATACGCGAGTATAATGTAATATTATCGTTACACGATTATATTGGTGCATCTTAACAACATAAATATTATTCATCACTAAACGTTAACGATCACCCGTTAAATACGTGCAAAAGATGTTCAGCTTTATGAAGCTAATCAAATTATAAATTGTAGCAAATGACTGGTGAACTTTGTTCGTGTTCAACAAGAAATAATTAAATGTTATCGAGTTATTCCATCGAAATACCCACTCGTTAAACAAAACGTACTTACAGATAAAAATGTAATAAAGTTTATTTTATTATTAATTTGTATTATGTAAATAATTGCACAAAATAATTTTGATTAGTGGTAGCACATTTCCATTGAAGGTATAATATTAAACAATCAATTAATTGTCGTATTCAATTATGATGATAATGTAATATTAAAATATAAAATCATGATCGATGACATGTTTTATTTAAATTTCTGTCGCACGTCCTTTTCATGCATAATTAATTCGATATAAAAGATGCTATAAAAAGAAAAAAAAAGGAACCCATAAGTTTTATTATATGTCAGTCATTAACTCCACGTTAGTTTCAATTATTTAATTGAGTGTATTTGGCTATATTATGTATATGTAACAAGACAGTTTAAGGTGTGCCGTAAAATGGGACAGGAATCGCAGTCGTAGTGTAGTAGAGGCAAAAAATATCCAGCTTTCTAAACAAACGCCTCGAAAATCCTTTATGCATAATTTATATATGTGAAGAGTATTTGTAATAATATTACGATGTATTATTAAGTTTATTGTAACTAACATCAAAACAATTTTCATGTATAGAGTTTGAAATGTTCATAATCGTTTGTTTAAATTTTTAGATTTTCAAAACTCAATTAAAAACTAAACTCTGATTTAAATATTTGATTTTGGTTTTTAAAGTTACAGTAAAAATAATAACGCGTCTATTTTTAGTCCACAATGATATTAAATAAAAGTATAAAATTGGTATTTTTAGTAAAAATAAGATATACTTGCAAATAATTTATAAAAAGTTAAATATTAAACAATATTATTGAAGTAAGTAAGTACTGAACTTGTACCAAAATGTATTTAAAAAATTCATTTCTCATAACAAAATACTTTCTAAAATAATATTTTTATAGTACAAAAAAATAATTGTGTACGATACAATATTATTATAAAAATATATATTAATTTGTCCATGTAAGATACTATAGGTGACGTTGATTACTTACATTTAATAAAGCTTATTACATACGTTTAAATAAATACAATTAGAAACTATAAAAATCGAA